TGTTTAGCATCAACATGACAAGCGTAAGCATTTCAGCACCATCACTACTAGCTAAAGGTTTTTAACTGTACTCAGTAGCAACATAGGCCACGGTGCTTTCAAGGAAGCATCTGTGCAGAGTTCAGCTCTAGTGTGAAACCTAAAATTTAACATGACCTTGCTTACATTGCACAATTCAAAGTATCATATGATTTAGACTGAATAGTTGATAGGTCAACCTATGCTGTCACCAACTATCTAGGATGCCTTCCTTTTGTATTAACTTCTATTAATCTTTTTCTGAATACTTCGGCGACTAAACAATATCAAATTGAAAAATTGTCAACTACAAAAATTTTCATTCTCACTGAGCACTGTAGCTTTGGTATAGAGCGTGTCTTCATCCAAGGACTTTTGAAAAATCCAAATTTTGAATGTTAAAAATATAAGAACTTACAAATATTGGGGTCCCTAAATAATCTCAAATAAAAAGGTCATAAAATTTTAGATCTCACTGAGCTCTATAATTTTATATGAAATGTCTTGGTCAGACTTCATTTGAAAAAGTTACGAACTCATGAGCTACAAATCAATCTCTCCTATAGAAATTTACCCATTTTCAAGAGAAATTGGCATAATAATATTTCTAGAGGAGGTTGATTTACGTTAACCACTCCTGAAAATGTGTATACGGTCAATTTATTAGGTGAAATGCTCCTGAAAATCGATTTCAAGGGTGGCCCCAGAGCATGTGCCAAATTGGATATTTATAGGGTGGTTTCTAAATACAACCTCGTCTAGAAAAAAAATGTAGGCTCCCTTAAAACCATTTATGTAAATGTTTTTTTTTCTGAAAATGCATTTATGCATGCAAGTCACGGAAATAGGAATATGAAAATGAAAACAATTGTACACACATTTGACCACTACTCTACTACATATTACCAGAATACAAGGAGGCCAATGCCACCTTCAGTTTACACTATCCTCCCTCACTGTCAAGATGTTAAATCATTCTTATCAGAGAACTTTATGTGTAGTATATTTAAAATGATAGTCCTTACAACGACTATCAATTAAGACATGTCATAATGTTTTAGTTAAAATGGATGGACATATATATGTTTACTTTACATAGGTTAGTGTTTTTTTTTGCGAAAGACATAGGTTAGTATTTTAGTATTAGTAGTTGCGGAAGTGGATAATTCATAAATATATAGACACAATTTATGGTTATTTAAAAAAACACATTTCCTATTGTACAATCGCCTGAAATCTGTCTCTCTCTCAGGCGACGCTTCTATCCGTTGGATGAGCTTCAAGATGCGTGCACCTAGTTTGGTTTGTATTAGGTCCGTGGTTGCTATTGGGTCCGGGCACTAGAGACTGCACCCGATAATACATCGCTAGACCCGGTCCTAATTGTGCCCGCTGCCGACAAACTCTTCGGATTCTTTTTTGTTTTCCTCAAACCGCGCACCCATCAGGCACAAGAGGAATCCGAGGCGACTTCACCCGGGTCGTGGCGACTTTTCGACGATTTGCCGCATCCTCGCCGCGGCGCAGCGATTTTATCAGCGAAATCCCCATCTTGGGTGACGCTCTATGTTCCGTGGGTGCCGCATCTCCTTCCTCCTTGTTCGTCGTTGCTGCATCACTTATTGCTTGTGTGTACTCGATCCCATTTCCTGATTGGGTGTTGATTTCGTCGTCGATTGGCTGAAATCATATTTTGAGGACGACACGGGGATGGAGGTTTTTGCCAGTAAGGTTGGGATCCTTGCAGGTTTTGTGCTGTTCTTTTGCGAAATAGCGATTTTGGTGTAGTGATTGTGTTTGTTCTTCCTTCTCTCCATTTTAGTTAGGGTTTGTTCTGTAGATCTAGTTCTTGTTTCTTGTTTTATGTCAGTATGCTGCTGCTCTGTCACTGACTATCAGAGATAAGCAAATAAAGGGTTTTGATGTCCTCGTGCACCTCATTGTAGTCGCGGTGATCAGGATCCAGCTCTTCCATGATCAGATAGGTGTAGGTTGCAGCATGTTTCTTCAGTTTGGCAAGCTTAATTGTTTGCTGAGGCACTTAGCACGATGACTTGTCTTGTCTTCTGCTGTCTGAAACTCTGTCATCAAAAGGAGTCCATGAAGCATTGGTCCCTCTGTCAGCAACTCCTGCATCCATTTCGCGTGCAGCTTCCCGAATCACCGGTGATCCCACGTGGGGGAGGTACGCTGCTGTTGGTCTTCGGCTAACAAACTGACTGCAAGATGTGTGCATATTTGGATTTCTGGGTGGCATTTGTTGTTTCACAATTTTCAGCGATCATTGTATCGATTTGTTTCCTCAAAAGGGGATTAGGAGAGGTCAGGCCACCATTATCGGTACCTGCATGCTGTTGTCCTGGAATATGAGAAACTCACTGGAGCCCACATCTTCAATTAATATGGCTTGCCCTGGAATGAAGTCGAAGCCTAGTATTAGGCACTGCAATTTGGGCAAGTCTCCAAGTATCTTCAGATAGATGTCGGAGCTTGCAAACACTGAACCCCACATTTATTGTGTGTTGTTCAGCTTGAGACACTTAGTCAGCAGTTGTGTCCTGTCCTTTATTTAATTCTTTTAACCTTAATTTTTTAAATCTTTTAAAACATTATTTGGTTTGACCAACCACATTGATTTTTAAAAAAAATATTTGGTCCAAGAAGTGAAGTAGGATAGCCTGCGGATTCTGTAAATCTGATGCATGATTGGTGACAAGAAGTGAAGTATTTTTTGTTGCTCTGTCCTGCATATGCTGCTACTGTGACCTTATAGTGGTGCCTGTTTCTTGTGAATGTGAGAGGTTTACCCTATTGCTTCCTTTGGTTGTTATAAATTGTCTAGTGTAATTTGCACATTATGGTGTAGCAGACTGATGTCTTGTAGGCCGTAGCTTTCATTCCACTTTTGGAATGATAGTTTCAGGGCTTGATAAGTGGCCAAGTAGATGGACTTCATTTTCTCTAGGTTTTCGACTTGCTCATGGATAACCTATGCTTGAGTTCCCTGTTAATACATGTTGTAAGCTTATTGTATATGATTATTTCACATCATCACTGTTGTTTCTGAACTCTCTGTAACTTGCCAAATTGTAGGATTGTGGTCCAGGTCATCTCCCCATTCGCTGGCTTCAGCAGCAATGTTCTTGCTGGCAACAAGTGACCTTTCTACAGTTTTATGTAATTTCCACAGCGATGGATGAAGCAGTACCTGGTTTCCTGAAGCTGAAACTTTTCTGCAACATTTTGTCATTTTTCTCCTCACATTCAAAGTTCAGAGTTTATGATACAATCATGATTGGTCCTTGAATACTATACAAGCATGACTGGTCCTTGATACAAGCTGAAACTTTTCTGTTACTGTGTTCTGCATATTAGTGTGATCCATAGTCAGTTAACTTATCTTTGCCTAGGTTATTTATCCTGCGCTTGTCCTTCTCTTATTTGATTTTGTTTTCTATTGTACATGGTTGGCTCCCTATATTGTATACTTAGAAAGGATTGTTTGGTCCAGGAAGCAATCAGGACATTGACATTGTAGGAATTACAGTATAACCCTATGAAATTCATGGAGTTTAAGTGTTCGGTTTGCTTCCATTGGTGCATTGATGTTCAGTTTAATAGAGACAAGTTCCAAGTCCTGTGTTGCAAGCTTTTACTTTTCTGAAAACTGAATGCAAGTGACTGAGAGCATTCTTTTGGTGTTTGTTCTTTTTTTTTGAAAATTAAATGCCCTGCTTCTCATGATGTGAAAGTATCTCAAATAGATGAACTCTGCTGATCCAAAAGCTCAAATAGATAAAGGCATTTGAATGTTGCAATCATCTAGTTAGGTGTTATATATGTAGGTTAACTATTTTTTCTGAAAACTGAATGGCAAATATTGCAAGTTCTATGCGCTCTGTGCATATTTGCTTGTTTGAAAATGGCTACTTGTGTTCATTAACCAAAAATACCATAGTGTATCTTTGAATGTGCTCTTGGAACATGGCCATGTATCATAAGTCAGTCAGTGAAATTAACACTTTAGTTATTCAATACCCAGCCTGAAAGAAAAAAAAGAAGAGAATGTATATGTTGTTAAGGAGAGATGAAAAGCTGCAGCAGGTCACCTTGTGCTTTTATATTATTTGCACTGAACTGTATATTATCTGCACTGAACTATGTATATAGGTGTCATAGTACTGGTGATGTTATTACTGTATGCCTAGTTTTGTAAAGATTGTAATGGCCAATAGAAATATGGAAGTTTCAGTGGGCCAACTGATGTGTGTGTGATATATCCTTTTTGTTTCATTGCTATTGATTTTGTGTAACTATTTTGTACTTCTACTGGAAAGCAACATATATTTATTTAAAATTTTAGTTCTGATGGTGACTTTACACCAAATTGTTCTTTAGGACAATAGCTATAGACAGGATACAATAAGGTCAACCAAAAGGTTCTTTCCAATGAGATACACAAGCAGAAACTACTTGGTTCTTGTAATGATGTTACATATCCTACTGACTAAAGTCAGAAACTACTGTGCCTCTCCAATTTCACAATCACAGGAAATACTAAAATTTTGACCTTTTCTGTTTGTTGACTTCCAGAATCATGAGTGAAACAGGGCACACTGTACAAGTCACTAACCTCTCGAGCAAAGTATCTGAAAGTGATCTTCATGAGTTCTTTTGGTTCTCTGGTCCTATTGAGCACATAGAACTTATCACAATAGTGCCCAACTGCTCATTTGTGCTACCTGCATAAAACATATACTGTAATAATGGTGCTCTCCCCACTATGTGTTTCTGCTTCATAGGTTGATGATGGCCTCTAATAATGATTAGCCATATGATTTGTTAGGCAATGCTTATGCCGACTGGTCCTTGATTAGCCATGTGATTTGTTAGCCATTCATGTGTTCTTATTGTTGCATTTATTTTGCTATCTGATTGGTGGTTGCTATAGTGCCAATTGTTAACTTTGGTAAATACCAACCATGGGGATGCCGATTATAGCTTTCCTATTTGCCCAAGGGCAGTGTGCATCATTTGAGCAACTGGAGCTGTTTCTACAGCAACCCTTCACCAAGATTCAGACTCTGGTGGTGTGGTTACATATGAGGTATGTTGCTGTTGGTTATCATTGGCCTAAAAACTGCTGCATGTATGTGTTCTGTTCTTCTCTTGTTGCATATTTGAATATAAATGTTTGCCCACTGTGCCAATTAAACAAAAGGTTTGCTGCTAGCATTTGCCTGGATAGTTGGATTGCTTGCATGTTACAGCTGAAGTATTGCTATCAAAGGGGAAAAATAAATCATAAAAGAAGGCATTTGTTTTCACACTTTCTCTTAATTAGTTAAGTATGCTGAGAACGTCTGCTTTCAGTCCAAGGTTGGGGTTATATCCTTGCAGGCCATATTATACAAGATACTTTCTTTTTTTCATGGAATTGTTCATGTATACTATGATTATTTTGTTCTCATTTAGTTTTGTACCCTTGTGCTTTATTGTTGATTTGGCAGGGTCGATTTGAGATTTATTGCCTTTCCGGGTCATACTTGGTGCTAGATGATGGTGGCACACGGACCCGAAGCAGAGGGCTTTGCATTGCTTTGTTTGGTCCTGACCATAGGGTTATTGGTGGGAGTGTAGTTGGAGTCCTGACAGCAGCTGGAACAATTCAGGTGATGGCTGATTTCTGTGTGATAGAGAATTTTCTCATATACATAATACTCAAATTTGAGTTCACAAAACCTCACAGCTTGGAAAATATGCTCCAGCTACTTTCAAGTTGTGTTGGTGCAGTATTATAGAAATAAGATGCATCCACAGTATACTACTGAATTTTGAAGTGCTCTGTTCCTATTAATATTAGCTGTTGATGAAAACCAAACAAATAAAAAATTCAGGTACATAATTGCAATCACAAATAATGTAAATTACAATTATTGGGCACCGCAGTTGTAGTTCTGAGCATATGCAATATGCTGGTGTTGATACGCAACAATTTCACCATTGCATTTGGTTTTTATTCTTGTGTTATATAAACTGAACACACGGTGCCTTTTTTTGGATGCATGTTTCAGTTCTCTGCTTAGCTATTAGAAGTGACAGGCGTAATGAACCCTACCGAGGATGGTTTCTCGTGGGCGCTCCAAAGGATTCAGAAAGAGGAATCAGACAGCTCTCAGGGAATGCAACGTGAAACTTGCGGTAGCGTTCGGCGTCCTCAACGAGTGTTTCAATGCGGTGAAGGATCGGCGGACCAAGACTGACATGCTCCACCAAGCTGTGGATAGCCTTGGGTAAGTCTTTTTGAGTCAGAGTGAGACATGCACATTTTTGTACTGACCTTGAGATGTCATTCGGTTATATATTAGGTCTTGATTGTGTCGCTTATATAGAAGGTGTTTCGTGCTAGAACGAACAGGTATGAATTTAAACGGCTACGCTACGAAGGGTTGTACACCATGGTTCTGGAGAAGGATGGAGAGATTATTTCGTCAGCCATGCTGAGGTTTGTACACTAGCTGAATTTCGTATAGTTGTAGTCTGTAGTATCCTCTTCTTGGTTCCTCTTCTTGGATGTTGTAGAATAGTAGGAGCTCACATCTTGTAACTGTGTATTGCATATACTGTACAAGAAAGTTGTGTTTAGTATCCATTTCTTGATTGCACATTTATAAGTAGTAAATTGCACACTTAAATTTTTGCAATTATGGTGTTTACCATGTGCAATATCCAGTATTTATATATAACTTTCCTACTATTTTGTTTTCCTTTTTACATTTGATAAAGCAGGAAAAACATATGTTCAGAAAGTTTGCAATAGGAAAACTCTTTACTTTAATAGTCCAAGTGTACTATCATTTAGATTATCACATGATACTGAAACTCCTCTCACAATGCATGTAACAACACCCATGTATGGTAATAGTACTTAGAAGACACAAACCTGCTATGCTATCACTTAACAGCCAAGCACCATGCCACTTAAAAGGTACAAACTAAAATCTGAAATGCAATATGTCAGGAAAACTTGTACACTTACACAAAGGAACTGACGAACAACAACAGACAACAATCAGTTGTGATTTGTGCCAACACATTTTATTTCTGTTTATTGTGATCTATGATTTGTGCCAGCATGGACAATATTTTTTGTCCTTGTCTTTCCATAGAAAAAAATTGTTATTTGTGATTTGTGCCAACATATTTCATTTCCGTTTTTTGTGATTTGTGATTTGTGCCAGCGCGGACAACATTTTTTGTCCTTGCCCTTCCATAGAAAAAATTGTTATTTGTGATTTATGGCAACACATTTCATTTCCGTTTATTGTGATTTGTGATTTATGCCAGCACGGACAATATTTTTTTGTCCTTGTCCTTCCATAGAAAAAATTGTTATTTGTGATTTGTGTCAACACATTTCTGGGACTGACAGGCTTGGTTGTTGTTGGTTGTTGTTGTTGTCTTTGTCTTACAATAGAAAAAAATTGTATTCTGTTTATTTTGAATATTGTAATGAGTTACACAAAGGAATTTCATCTGCAGTTGTGTATCTGTTTGTTTTTGAACGAACCAAACACAAATAAAATTTCAGTAGTATTCCTAGCTAACAGATTACTTGCAATTCGTTTTCAGTGATTCTAGAAAGAATTTCTCGCGTGTCTGTTTAGCCTGCAAGAAATTGGCATGGTGAATCTGGACGGAATATGTAGTTGTTGTTTAGGACTGCAAGTGGGATACGTCAATGAATCTGGACGCAAAAGTGGCTTAAGTAAATCTCGTGCAATTTTCTTTCAGAACCAAAAACCAAAGATATACCAATGAACTTGCATATAGGAGTAATAAGAGTGTATAAGCTTCAATGATTTCAACGCATTTTCTGACTATCCTCGTATAGAAAGCACACTGTGTGATAAAAAATGAATAAATGTGGTTTCATCCGACAAAAACATAGCACTATAGTGGTTATGTGCTTGTTTTTGGGTGTTGTCATTTTTTTGTCATTTCTGTAAAATTTCCTGAGAACAAGGAAAGTAGGACTCCATTCATTGACCGATAACTCCTTTGTTGATGCAGTACAACATCTGACAAGAAACTGAACTAGCCCTTTTAATGCAGCCAATCGTGAGATGAGGGACAGTGACCCGGAGGTGATGCTTGAGGCAGACCTGAAGGCGAGCGAGAGCTTCCTGAACCAGATAACACTGTAGCTAGAGAGCTATGAGATGTCCCAGCACATGCAGGAGCAACACAATGCAGCCTGGCCTTAGGATCATCTTGCTGGTAAGCATGCTCAAGCACTCAAGATCCTAGTTGACATGTCAATAAATATTGATCTCTATGAAGTTTCATACCTCTACAGCCTACGTCATGATTTGGTAATTTCGTCTTCAGTACTTAATCTCGCTAATGTCATTTAAAGATAGTTTCTGACAGTTTATCAAGAAACACAATGTTTGACTAAAAACTGAATTTCCTGGCTGATTTTGAGATAAATCCTCGGCATGTTCAGTAATTTTACGACACACATGCAGGGTAGTTGTTTACAACAACATACTGAATTTCTCGTGTTTCTATTGTCCTTGTCTTTTGTTTATTGTGTTTTGTGCCAGCACCGGCAACATTTGTCCTTTTTATAGATTTTTTTTGTGATTTGTGCCAACACAGACCACATTTTTATCCTTGTTTTTCTATAGAAAAAAATTATAATCTATTTATTGTGATTTGTGCCAACACATACAATTTTGTCAGCTATCTTGTAATTTGCCTGTGTGTTCTACAATAGAAGTTCTGGTTGTGTGCCTTGAATGGCTGCATTATTTTGGTGAACAGAAGGAATTCTCAACTACATTCTCATCCTCTTGGTAAGGAAGATAAAAAAGCCAACAACTTAGCTAATGTCATGGATGAAGGACCACTTGTACCACCTGTAGCTATAGGTCCCAAACCAGCGTCTTACCTTGTCAGTTATATTTTCCTATATGCTGAACATCATGTCTGTTTGTTCTCCAAAAGTTTTAGAGAAAAGAACAAGTCATAATTACTACCAAAACTGAGGGTCTGTCCCTGGGTCTCGCACTCGTGACTGGCCTTTGTGTGTAGTCTCATGATTTTATCTTTGTAAAAGTGGCAGAACCAGTTTATTGTTACTATTTGTAACTTATCACTGTCTCTGCTAATGTTTCATTAGTACTTAGGGAATCCTTGCTACTAGCCATAGACACATCCTTGGGGTTGCCGCATAATTGCATGCCACTAGCCATAGACACAGTTCTGCCCAAAAAAGGCACCATGGTCTAGCTCAACACAGACAAAACAGATTTGTCTTTGTGCTAACACAGTTCAGAGTTTCGTTAATTGTGCTTGTCTGTGTGTGGCTTTTCACCAGCACAAGTTAACTGTACTCACAGCATGCTTCACATGCATGAGCTGGATTTTCTAATTATATACATAAACAGTATTGTTGCATTATCAACAAGTACTAGTTGCACTATTTGAAATGTGCAATTTTCGTATTTATGTTCTGAAATTTTCAAGATCATATTCATTATGCCTTTGTTTGCTCAGAATACTTTAATATGTGAATCTCGTCGGGTGAGAATATGCAATGATCCTGGTGCTCCATATTCTGTGGACTATGGGCACTGGGCAGGGTTGTTTTAACTCTGTTGCCTGCTTGCCTGTGTGCCACCTTGCCTCTTTTCCCGACAGATTCTGTTTGTCTCTGTGTAAATACAGATCAGGCACAAGTTAACTCTATTTTTTTGTGTTTCTGTTTGTCTCTGTGTAAATACAGATCAGGCACACGTTAACTCTACTTGTAGCAGGCTTCACATGCACGAGCCGGATTCCCTGGTCAGGGAGATCGTGAGGAAGGTTTGGCAACAGTAATGGCAAGGTTTAGTTCAACAAGGAGCCCAATAATCTCTAATTTTCGCTCTTCTCTCCACTTTAATTCTCCTTCTAGATCCAGATTGATCGGGGGTGTTTCTTTCTTGCTGGAGGGTGTAGTGGTAGAGCTGTAATTTCTGTGTACTGTTTTATTGGGCCGAATAGCTACTTTGTGGCTCGAATGAGTAGTTATTTGATATAGCGGGTATCGGATCTTGCACCCGTTAAGGTTTGGCGGGCCCGGTAGCGGCTTTGGTTGGGTTTGCAGGTTCATTTGCGGACCCGTTTTGTTGCCTGTTACAGAAAAACAATAGAGAACAGATCTGACCCTTGGATGCAGATCAAGGGCCCTGGACGTCGCTTGAGATGGTTCATATATTTCAGACGACTGAAATATAGCAACTCCCTTAAAAAAATTCTATATTAAGACTTTAAGAGATGATGGTGATTTAGATGTAAAGTTGATGGGATATTTTAGTAGTACCGTGAATGTTGAGCTGGGAAAAAAAAGGCGACACGTGTCCTCGTCGTCCATGGGTTGTTAGTTAGGTTGACCAAATGCTCACCAACAAGCAGTTCATGGCCCCACCGGGCGGCCAGAGTAATCCACCCAACCAATCCAAAGCCCATCCGCCGCCCGGACACCATTTCTTAACTGAAGCCTGCAAACAAGCTGCTACATGCCTACATCCATGACCGGAGCTACTAGCTGCAACATTTTCCCAACCAAATGAATGGCCCGGCAGCTAGCATCAATTCATCCACAATCTCCCTGCCTGTTATTGTGAATATAAACTGCGTCCAGCAAATGGTCGCACTGCGTCTTGCCTGCTAGTCAGAAGCTCGAATAGGTACCAAGCAAGGTGACCATGGCCACGGCGTCTGCAGCTTGTAATGGCGGAGGGCTCTTGTA